ATATATATATATAATGATTCGTCAATGGACTGGCTCTCAAAGAGCTGTCTATATAAAAATCACCCGGTGTTTCAAGCAAGGTTATTGTGACGAAACCACATCTTGGGTACAAGTATATGAATGAAAAGACGGAAGTCTACCGGATACGCATGCCTGACGAGCAGAAAAAACCGCGAAACCGATCGTGTGTTTCCTGGGAAATTTTATCTAGCCATTCATATACTACTCATTATGAACTACACATTATTTGGAAGCATCCTTGCAGGTACTGTGTTTTAGAGAACTCTTCTATGCCGTATTTTTTTTATGCCAGCTCTCATTGAAATTAACATTCCACGAAACTTATGGTTTGAGTTTCCGAGAAGCAACTTGCCCGTGAATTTCCCCAGTCCTGCATTGCGTGCTCGTAGATTAAAATAATACGTTGGCTCTTGTAGCTCTGGGTGAATAACTTGTTAACCCCTTGTTCTTCAAACATAGTCCTTTGATGAGAACGGTTTCGCCACTACTCGAGCTTGTGGTTACAATGAGGTGAATTGGCATACAGTAGTTAACATCAAAATTCGTTTGCTGCTTATCAGAGTTATATCGATGATATCAGAATGTGACTCACAATATCGCTAGCTTGCATTGGAGGGGGTGGGTGGGGTGGAGGGAGAATACTTATGAGCCTGGTGTTCACTGAATGAAATAGCCTGATGTTTATTCGGTGATGCCTATGATTGTCGTTACAGCTGCCGTCAGGTGAAAAGGCGCAACTGCAATTATGGAATGGAAAAATGACGCACGGCGTGTCAGTTTGTTGCATCATTATGCCACACGTAAAAGGCAACCCGTCAAGCATCCGCTTGCATTCACGACACGTACACATCGTGTTCGATACGTATTAAATTGCCTGTCCGGAATTCGGGTAATAGTAATTTGCATCTCTGTAGCCTGTTCGTCTCCGTCCACCGTCAAACACAGGTACCCGTGCGCTTACGCACATGCCATCAAATGTCTTGTCTCCCTCATGAGAATGATGATACCTTACACCGTCTTGGCAACTCGGTGATTATCTATGGCACTCTAGTTGTCAGATGACCAACTTTGTAGGATTTTTGTCACTGGTTTCAAGCTCTAACTGACTGAATACATCATCAAAACATGGCCACTGTTAGGTTACAATTCAATGACCCGGACAGGTTCAATTGTAAATATTTGTCATCCCGTGGTATCTTTTTACCAGAACTGACCAAGAATGAAGGATTTCAATATGATCGTTCAGTGGAATCGAATCGAATGTCACTTACCGAGAACTCATCGCTTTTGTCAGTTAAATGCACTGAAACTTTCACCTGTGAAGTATGAATGTTCTATTGGTTGATGAGCGCTGATTCGTAATCATGTATTTTCGCCTTGCTGATACCGCATTGTTCGACCCCAGTCGTTCAAGCGAAGTGAAGCCCATACTGGCGTATCATCTCTCTCCTTAATAACGCTTTCCTCTGCATTATCGTGTTAATATAAATTGATTAGTTTACGGTAAAACTGACTGCGGATGGTCTCTACTTCATGTACAGCTTTCTTTAACCGTTGAGAATCATCCGTTTAGTGAGCATGGATCGATACAGACAAATCCGTTGAGTTTTTCACGTGAATATCACCGCAGCTGCATGCAATGTCAGTTTCACTTTGTATTTCGTACTACCGTTTATGGGGTAAATCGTTTCAAATTATACACTGCAGTTTTAAACAGTAGAGATTTGACGCTATAGTCACGACGAAATACGGTTTGTTTACGGTAATCAGCGGTATAAATCATCCATTCTTGTTTTATTGCACCAGTGGCGTTTCTTGATTGGTCAGCGATAGATTTTAAATGCAGCCATCTGTTTAATGCACGAAGAAAGCCACGCCTCCCTTATATTTTACTTTTGCGTGCTTTTATCAATACACCGATTACTTTACTTAAAGAACAAGCTTTTCTCGGACAACATAAGTTCTATAGTTCGCAGTAAAGAACCTCGTAATACTCCTAGTGGTATAAGTTTAATAGTAACAGGTGACAGCAAATCAGATTATCTCCAAAACGAAGCAGGCACCGGATTGATACCCCAAACCCGCAAAAGTGGTGTGCATCGATGACATCCAAGGGAAATGCCCGATCATCAGCACCATCCAGTATGTCCTGGTTGCGACGACTGCCAGGCAGACTGGACGAAAATGTGAATCACATTCACACGCCGGGCGTATTTCCTGTTTGGCGGGAAATCGGGGCTTAAAGGACTATGGCTTTCATTCACTACCCCACGGATCTGATCCACGATCAAGCACATCAAAAACAAAAATGCCAGCGGGAGCGAACATCTGGAACTGGTTTTCAGCTCCTATATTTTTCGAGATCAAAGCACACACACATCACCCCCTCGTCTGCCGTTTGGTGTCCTGTAACTCAAGGAGGCAACAAACAGCAAATCCAGGATCACGGTTATCAACCAAATGCAGTAATGCCAGACTATCGATCACGCATAAACCCGAACGACTAGTTCGCAGTGTAGTACACGAATAACTTACTTTTACTTTACTGCGGCCGGCTCCTTGGAGAGGATTAGCCGGCTCCAGACATGATCATGATGAAGATCATGGAGTTGCTTGGGAATTCGGTACGAGAGACGTCTCCAGCGTCACTCGGCGTCTTTTATTTTGAGGGCGCACCTCTAGCCTTTGCACAACCAAGTGCGAACTGCAGGGCAGCAGGAACCAATCCCTCTCCTCGGAAGTGAGGGAGTCATTGACTTTAGTTTTAAAAGGCCAGTCACATCGACCTCGGTCAAACCACCGTCATTAGGCTTATGTGACTCTGATTAAACGAACTTTCCGATTGTGAAACCCCAACGAAGTTCACCTGTTTTAAATTTTGGGAACCTGACAGTATCCATCCGTGAATAAATCCTAGACCAATTTCTCTCTTACCACAATTGTTGTACAGTTCTTTATTTCTACACAGTCGGAACTGCTTCCACCGCCGTCAACACCACCTCAAGTAACTACAGGCAATTATTTTGCACTATTCTGA